TTGCATGTATTCAGAGTAACGAGATGGGGACGGGTCGTTTTCCTTCAAAATTAGGGACCAAAATATTCATTAAACCAAATGTTTCAAATTTTATTAATCTGAAGCAAGTACCATAGCATAGTAGCAGATTTTTTGTGAAGATAATTCTTTGAATTTCACCTAATCAACATAAAAATGATCATAACGATGTCTTTCACTTGAAATTATGTTTTTAAGCTTTTTTTACGCTTGAAAAAGCTGATTGCACATATTCAAAACGGGACGGAGCCTCCGAATTCAGGGCCAAGAGACATATCAAAAAGTTACCAATGCACGAATCACTTGGGCAGCCAGCACAACAAAATATTGAAACCTTTTTTTCGCGAACCCCCAAGAAAAACGCGATTTTAAAAGCTAATTGTAATCATTAAAATATTGCTAAAAATGCTAATAAAAATAACGCGGTACCACAGCACCGATTAAAAAGCAATGCTTCGACTTTAGCTAGGCTAACAAGAGATTTCGCGCAGTGTAATTGCAGGTTCCGTAACGTGATTCTGATTCTGCCCGAAATTTCGTAATTAAATTTGTCCTGACAAAAAATGAAGAATGACAGGATCAATATTTGAAATCAAAAAATGCGATAAAAGGTCTATTTATTGAAAAGTAAATGCTAATCAAGTTATAAAGCTACATTAATTACTCCCCCCCATTTTCAGAGCGAATCCCGAACTGTCAGAAATGCGGGCAGCATGGCCGGAAGAATCGGCTGAAGGGCCACAAACGCGTTTGCCCCTACAAGGATTGCACGTGCCCAAAGGTTCGTTGAAAGATGTCGTTTTTAAAATGTCACCTTTGTTTTGGACTTTAGTTCGTTAAATATGAACTTACTTATTAACCAGAATCAATTTTTTACCCATCTGGCTTCCCGAAAAAACTTTATTGCGCTGATAACGAGGCGATTCACCGAACTAAAAAATGTTTCTGATTTTTTCAAAAGTACGGCGTTTTTACATGGGCTTTAAATTCCATTCGGGACCCTATCTTGTGCAGAATTTGCAAGTTTGCCAAGTTACAGAGGTTTTTCTTATTAAGCGGAAAGTGGAAAAACGTTGATTTGGTGATAATTTACTTTAATTAACCCAGCAAAACGAGAATTTCGCGTGGGGAAAAAGCAATGTTTTAAAACAAATATTAGCTAAGGCTTGAAAACGATGGTTAATCGGCGAAGCTACGTAGCTTTTTTGGATTTTCCGTGAGAAAATTTCGGCAACTTAAACGCCAATTTAAACCAACAAAATCAACTTTTTGAACTTTCAAAACTATGCAGCCCCACTAATTCGACCATGCGCTAGCAGATGACGTCAAAAAAACAGGGTAGAAACAAGGCCTTCTCCAACCTCATGAGTTACAAATATAAACAAACAAATTTACCGATCTATGTTTCAAAATATTTCAACAGTTAGTTCATAAATGATAGTGTCATAGATCACCCGTGCTGTTAAATCTTGTCTTTCCACGCCTAAAAACTCAGGACATCGTTTGCTAAATTCTCTATTATTACATTTTAAAAATGTCCTTCACGCTAGAAAAGTGATCGTATGTAAAATGTCAATTTATTAAGCCATAAGATCCATCCCCATTTCGACACCTGCTTTGGGCCTCTGTCTGTCAGCAACCCCCGTCTGCAACGTAGCCACTATTATTCAACCTGGGCCCCCAGTCTGGGCCCTCTGTGGGCCACAACCAGGCCCGTAGCGGAACCGAAATTTCGGGGGGGCCCAAAAATTTTGGCGACCTCCCCCCCCCCGGTCGTCACTTTTAAAACACCCGATTCGCGTCAATAATAGCGCCGCAGGCAAAAAATCGCAAATAAGCGTTCGCCTACACTCCAATTCATGTGAAAACACGGCAGAAAACGCGCGCGCATTTTTATGAACAATTGATTCTCCGATGAAAAACCTGCGCCGCAGGCAAAAAATTTTGAAAAAATAGGCTTCATATAAGTAAAAACTGTTTGAAAAACAGTAATAAACAGCGCCGCAGGCAGAAAAATTTTTGTAACTAAAAATCATAAGGGTCCCCCCTTATGAATTTTTCGAACCTCGACCGATTTCGGGGGGGGCCCAGGGCCCCCTGGGCCCCCCCCTCCTACGGGCCTGGCCACAACAGAGGCCCCTACTCGAAAATATGCCATCTCAAGAAATGTCGCAATTCCTGGCTGGGGGCCGGTCTTAAAAAGATGGAAAAATATGTTTCGAAAATTGTAAGGAGTTGATGTTCAAAACTCGGCGTAATTCTCCGTCGGGCATTTTTTTTTCAATGTTTGCATCAGCAGAAAGATTTTCGGTACTGGATTGCTAACAGGGGGACGAATTTTTGTTTTTTGACCTCTACATACGGGTTGATAATATATAATGTATTTTTATGGGGTTTTAGCAGTTCTCATTGCTAGAAAGTTAGCAAAAATATTTAAAGTATTGAAATATATCTGCATGTTTCACGAGCTGAGGCTTTTTTTGTGGCAGCTTAATCATTCAATCGTCGATTTTGCCACTCCCCCCCCCCTCCATTGGTATTGCCATATTGGGTTATTTAGGATTTGCGGGGGGGACCAAATTTTTTCCTGGTGGTCCCGGTTGACCCAGTAACCAGATATAAAGTGTTTTCGCATTTTTTAGCAAAATTTAAGCCTATTTGAATAGGAAAAACTTTCTAAAACGTTAGAAAAACGCTTGAAAAACTCGAAAATTTTGTCTTCTTGGGCCGAAAAAATGGATTTTTGTTAAGTTTGTATGCTTAGGAATAAATATAAATATATATATTTCTATAAACAATTTAGAAACACTCCCACTATTTATATAAAAAATCTAGGCCTGTGCCGAAAAAATTTGGTTCCCCCCTTGCGAATCCTAAAGAACCCCATATTGGTAGCGGGCATTTTTCGCTACAGTATTACTACCTTTCTGCGACAGGGTCAATGCGATTCTTTGAAGGAAAAATGATCCGTTGAAGCGGCTTCATGATGGCATGATTTTCTGTAGAATTGATGTTTCACAAACTTGCCGATGTGCGGTCTCTGTTTCAAAAATAATTAATGCAGTTCCCCAGGAGCAATTCCAAATCCGTAAGCTCTAAAACGATCTCATTAATGGAATTCATCTTTCAGCCCTCTGCCTCTAAAAAAATTCCCTATTTTTAACTGCATAAGTTCGACGAGAGCCCCCTAAATCATATGAAAGGCCTCAAAACAATAGCTTCAGAAACCAAAAAATGTTTCACAAAACCGCTTCTTTGACGGGTTTTTCTCCAAGTTACTTGTTGATAGTTCAATGCGAAAACGATTCTGTCACCCTCCCTTTAAACTAAAAATTCCGGAGACTACAGGCCAGGCTGATTTCCACACATTAATGCAGAAATTGATCTTTCACCTCGGGGCCGCAATATTTTTCAGCCGTGGCCATTTCTGGGGCCCACAACTTGGGGCGCAACACGAAAATATTCGTAAAAATGTCGCGCGCGTTACGCCGGAGGGGTGTCGAGTGGAAAACATAGGTAGCGAGCGAGAGAGAGAGAGAGGGAGAGAGAGAGTAAAAGAGAGAGAGGGAGAGAGAGTAAAAGAGAGAGAGAGGGAGAGAGAGAGAGAGAGAGAGAGAGAGAGAGAGAGAGAGAGAGAGAGAGAAGGGAGAGAGAGGGAGAGAGAGAGAGAGATAGAGAGAGGGAGAGAGATACTGAGGGTGATAAAGAGAGACACAGAGACTGACAGAAACAGGGTCGTGAGAGACAGACAGACAGCGGAATAGAGTGAAAAAGAGCGAGCGAGGGAGTGAGGGTGCGAGAATGAGAGAGAGTGGGAGGCAGAGAGAGAGAGAGATAAAACGAGTCAGAGCGAGGTATGCAGTTTCTTTCTCCTTCTTTCCCCCACGCGTCTAATTTGAGCCCCAGCTCCCCGTACGGAGACGCGAAACGGAAAACAAAAAATGTGTATCTACTTCGGGTGGATTTTTGCCTTTGTCGTCTGTCTCAACCGGGGTAGGGAGGGATTGTTTTCAGGAAATGCCCTGCGGCTATAAACATCCTCTTTTTACTGGGGCTCCCCCCTGAGAGACGGCTCCCCTGATATGAGCCGAATTATATAAGGAGATCCGCCTCTCTCCTTCCCCCCCCCCCCGCCGAGTTTCCAACAACAATCAAAAGTGGGCGGCTGTGTTTTCGCGTCGGGACCCTTGGCAGAGGGTACGGTAATCCCCGGGAAATTAGCCCCCGGCCCATGATTTGGTTATGGCGGAAAACAGATTTTGACACGTTAAAAGGGATTTGCGATAAAGGTGGTAGACGGTGTCGGAAGGGTTATTACGTCGAGAAATGACGAAGCCTGAGCCAGGCCTAAGCCAAAGCAAAACCTAAGCCGAAAGGAAAGCCTAAATCCATGCGAAGCCTAAACTTAAGCCTAAGCCTAACGCAAGCGAAGTCTAAGCCTGAGCGTAAGCCAGGACCAAGCCTGCGTCTAGGCCTACGCCTAAAGCCTAGGTCTAATCCTAAGCCTTAGCCAAGCCCAAGTCCAAGCTTATCCTAAGCCTAAGCTTAAGCCCAACCTAAGCCTATCCCTATGCCTACCTCAGCACAAATCTAATCCCGAGCTTAAGCCAAGCCCAGGCCTAAGCTTAAGCCTAACTTATCCAAGGAAAAATCCTCGCAAACCTAGGAAAAGGACAGAATCTCGAGTATCGGAAAGGCCATCTCGGCTCGTTTAAAAAATATGATTCAGCAGATTTGGATTAGCAAAAAATTCGAAAGGAGTTAATTGTGAACTCGGACAAATCGGAACAGTTTTATTGAAGCAGCTACCGCAAACGGTGCTCACAATTAGAAAAAAAATAGATTATTTTAAAAAGATGCCTTTAAAATTATACAATGGAAATCGAACCTAGAGATATATTTCAGGAAACATTTAATATTAAATTCATAACGGCTATATGTGATATTTTCAGTGCCAAGTGGTGTCGGAACGGCAAAAGCTGATGGCCGACCAGATCAAGATCCGACGACGGCAGAGGAAGGACACCCTGTTGAGGTTTGTCGGGCTTTAAGATCTTAAAATATCAATTAAATATTTTGAATAAAACGAATTACATTCAAAATTTTATGGGATTTAAGCACTATGAATTATTGGCTACTTTCCCGTTTCAGCCACAATATTTTTGAAACATTAATTTTCGCAATCGATTTAGGCGGCAATTGCGTTTCGGAAATAGAAACCCGTTGAGATTTAATAAGGCCTTTATTTGCATAATCATCGGTTATTTATGTGGATAAAATAGTTAAACTGAAAACTTGGGAATCGGATTTATACTTCATACGAACGAGAGATTAATTGATACCTCACTTGTTTTGACCAGCACATTTTTGAAACATAATTTTCGCAAAACCTCCAATTTCAAGAGAACGTTGCGTTTCGGAAGTAAAAACCCGCTGAGATTTAATCGATCTTAACTTGCATAATTATCGATTGTATATGTAGCAAAAAATAATTCAAATGGAAAGTTTCAATTGGCCGGCATGATTTAGAACTTGACTACGAACGACCGATTAATTAATACCTAACTCGTTTTGCCCCCATATATTTTTGAAACATGATTTTTTTAGAAATTTTGAGCTGCCGAGAATTTTTTGCGGCACTAAACCCCAAATACCCCAATTTTAAAAGTGACTCAATGGGTGCGTATTACTATTACTATATGGGTACTATTAAGTATGGGCATGCAAAATATGCCAATATTTGGAGAAGCAGATGGGCAGGAATTAGGAATTCAACCAAATAGGTAAAACCGAAGATGCACGATACATCTATTTTTACGCTTTTTGCGAAGCCACGCTAGTTTTAAAAACATACGGTTGACCCTAAAACATAAAAAATAGAAATATTTGAAAACATTTTTTCAGCCTAACCCGCGAGAGCATCACGGCCACGATTTCTGCCCTCAGCCAAATGCCCAACAGCAACGTCAACAATCTGCAGGCCGCGCTGCTGTGTGAGTTTTTAATATATACTGATATGACTATTATAATCATTAGTATTACTATATTACTGTATATCCTGCATATCTAAGATGTATGTGGAAATTGGGCCCGTAAATGAAAAATGTTTCAAAAAATTTAGTGGTGCTGGCGAGGGATTTTAGGCTAATGGGCTCAAGGCAATAGGCGGCGGCTAGGGATTAATATTTTTGGGAAAAGCGTCATTTTCAAATCACGTGCATACTTTCCATTTTTGCGTTCGGAAATTCACTATGCCGCAAAAATCTACACGGTGTGCCCAACGCAACTACCTAAGACATTTAATTACAAAGTATCGGTCAGGCTGATCGTAATTTTTAGCGTTAATATCGTAACTCTCGAGATTCGAGCGAACACGCAGCGGGCCGGTTTGAAATTTATCAGCAGAGATTTTTCCAAAGGAAACATGGGACATAATAAATTTCATCGATTTTTCGCCACATTGCTGTTTCATGAAACACGTCGTTTTTAACTTTTTTTTTGCATTTTGCCATCGGCTATAAGTAATTTTTTAAATAGTCTTTTACCTTCTCAAAGAACTCGTTTTTTATTTTTTATAGCTTGAAACTGTATAGTTTGCAATTGATTTGATTGATTGATTTTATTATGAAACAAGTCATTCTTAAATCCAGTTTGCGCACTTTTCCGCTTTGGCATTTGGAAGTTTATTCCGCAAAAAAGCTACGTGGTACTCCTTACGCATTTAATAAGAATGCAATTTTATAGTGTCGTTGCGGCTTTATGGTAATTTTGTTCGTCAAGGAATACAGAAGAAAACCGCACGACGAATTAAATCTCATCGGCGGTCCCCCACATTGCTGTTTTATGAAACACGTCTTTTTGACATGGCCTTCCCACGATCTGACATTCGGCAAGAGGCCAATTTTTGAAAATCGTCTTGTGTCCCTCTTTAAATTTTATCGTCATATTTTAAATCTTTAAAGGACTGGTTTTTGCTTTTTATCGATTGGAAAGGTAAAGATTGGGATAGATTATTTTATGAAACCTCTCCAAAAAGGAAATCCAAAAGCCATTTTTTACATTTTTCCACTTTTTATATTCAGCCACTTCACTATTCCACAAAAAAGCTACGTGGCCTGCCCCATCGCGGAAACATGTTTACGAGGTTTCCCCCGTCCCACCGCTTCCAGCGAGGGTTGGCCCAGACGGTCGTCGTCGCCCCTTTTGGCCTTTTCTCGCCAATGTTCTGCCCCGCGGGGGTCCCGACGCGAAAACATTCGGAATAGCCGCACGGGCGTTTCCTCAAGAAGAGGAGCCTGAGAGAAGTGTTTTCGCCTGGTGCTCCCCCCTCAGAAATCCCGATTAATATATACGGGAGTTCCGGGAAGCAGAGACGTATCTTTGGGGGAGGCTTGTTTTGCCTGTCTCCACTCGATTCCGGAGCGCTACCCTTTGCATTCGGGTGTAGCCGGGGATTATCTGGAGTCCAACAGATACCAGAAAACGAGAAGCAGTACGGTGGCTAGGCTAACAAAGAAATTAAGGGATTGACGAACATCAAAACGAACCAGTCACTACCCATTAAGGAAATGACTATCGTCTGCTACGGAAAATTCTTTGAAACATGCTGACTCCTTCGTTTTTGGAAATAATGAATCTTTTAAACAATCTGGGAGCGAAATGTAAAAAAATTCAAAATTTAATTGAATATAATAATAATAATTACTTCAAGAACTTTGATCCCAGTCGCTTTCGATTCCGGGGCGGCCTGCATTGGGTGTAGCCGAGAAAATGGACTTGCCTGTCGCAAACAGTTACCAAAAAAAGAAGAAGGTAGCTGGAGCCACAAATTAAATAAGAAATGAGAAAAATGAAAAACATAAAACGAGAAATTCACCTCTCCATTGTTTAGCACAATTGTTACGAGATTTGAATCGTAGATGAAACATTTAAAATTCCGGACTATTGGCTAAGAATTTTCACATTTTTTTTAGAAACTCTGTGAGAGCTTTTTTGAATTCTCAACATTATTTTTGGAATTCACATCCTGTTATTCCGGTAAGACACTCCTTTCATTCGGTGTAGGCGGCCTTAAAGGGCTGCCGACGGCATGTGTCGATCCCCCCTCATCAACAAATTGGCAAGTAGCCAACAGGGGAGAGAGGGCGCCCAGGGGAGAGGCGCAGAGACATTTTCTTTCCAGCGCGTAACCGATTGACTATGCCGTCGGCATCCCTTTAAATTTGCAGGAGAATGACATTTGCACGATCCAATTGACCCATCCCCGTGTGCTTCCTACCATGGTTTACCTGAAACATTTTGATTTTCTTGTACATTTTGCTTACTCTTCAGTTACTGGGCATTGCTGGACTTATAAAAAATTCAGCTTGCGTCCCCCCCGATAATGCCAAAGGACCGTTTCTTTGATTTATATTTTTCGGGGCGCTGGATCCGCGGATTTGCTCAAGGTCTAATCTGCAATAAATTTTCTCCTTGCTCACATAGGTGTTTGGAACCATTTTAATTTACGAATTTGATGTTTAAGACGTATTAAATAGTTACCGCTTACAAAGTAAATAATACAGTAATCATGCCAGGGTCCTAAGCCTAAGCTGGGTCCAGTAACCAAAAAAATAAACTAACGATGGTCGAGAAACTCGGATCAAAGAAAGTACAATCTTTGCCAATTACCTACATTTTTTGAAACATTTGGCTCTGCATTTTTCAAACAATTTAATGCGGTCGTAAGTGGTAATTTATGCCTATGCCACACTAATTATGGTATGCCACACAGTACGAAATGGACAAAACTGTGGGCAGAAAAAAGGAAAAGGAACAAAAAACTTGCTGTCAACTAATAACGGGGGGAAGCAGTAAGCGGCTGACTGTGATTTTGTTGTCTAGATTTTTTGCAACATTTTTATTTTACGGCAAAATGACAACCATCAAGCAATTCGGAATTCGTGAGATAATGGGGTACCGTAAAAGGACTAACGTTAGATAGTAAGTTATGCAAAAATATTCATTTTTCCGAATTCTTCTACTGGAGCCTCGTATTTACTAATCAACAAAGCAAATATTAGCTTGAAAAGATGGGATAAGAAATGGTTCATCAAGCATAAAAACCGCCGCATAGCCCAACATTTTTATGAAACATGAATATACCTTGCTGTTAGATTTTTGAATTTTTGAGTTGAATTACAGGTTGCTTTCTCGCAATTGGTTTTGTCCAAAGTCGAAATGTCAATGCGCTAAGAACTTGATTTTTAAGGCTGGAGAGATCAGTAAATGTCGACAATCATTTTCCAAAAACAAAGAATTTTCCTTTGAAAGTTTTCATATCATTCATTCTAATTTCAGATAACCACATGAAGCCGTCGGGGGCTGCGTCGGCGCTTCAGAAGGCTTCCGAAATTCCGGCCACCTCATCTGCATCCTCGACCTCTATGCCCCCACCCTCACAAGCGGCCCCGGATCTGCAATCGTTGATTTTGGGGTAAGTTTTTTGCAAGAAAAATGTTTCATGAAAGGTACATTAATGTGGGATATATTAACTTGACAGTGACCCCAAGATAGACCATCAAAAATCTACTCTCTTACAACCAGTTCTATCAATTTTTTTGCTTATAATTTTGTTATTATTTCGGAAAAAAATAATTAGAAAACATGATGGGCTTTTTATAAATGAACTTTATTGGTTTCTGCAAAGATCTTTCTGCAAAGTGTAATCCTTTAAAAATCCTTCGGCTCAAACAGTTAAAACAGCCATAGTCTTTCGCTTAAGTAAAAGTTCGGAATTAATGTTTCGAAAAAATGTCGTGGGTCGCGTGGCAAGGGCGCCGCTAATCAACGTGATCGTTTAGCTTTTTAATGGGCAATAAAGTTTTCCAAAAACATATTTTAGTTTATCTTACGCATGTCTTCTAACTCTCAAAATTCCGCTTCCACCACACACAGTGTATTAAAATGGAATTTATAGGTTTCTGTATGGTGAAATCCTTGAAAAAAGAGCGTTATTCGCTTGGCGCTAGAACAGTTCAAACCAACATAGACTTGTTTTTAACAATCGATGAATTTTATCAGTTTTGGAAAATGTAAATACTTCGTAAAAATAATTATCTTTCGGTCAAATAAAAGTTTGAAATAAATGTTTCAAAAAAATGTCATGGGTCGAGTGGAAAAGGCACTGCTAATCGACATGGTTTCATCTTTTTATTGGCAACCAGCGGGGGAGGAGCCGCTTCGCGACTCTCCCCCGCTGGACTCCGTCTAGGCCCTATGAATCGAGCGCCCTTACACATAAAGTTACCCTGAAGAAAGAAAAACACATCTCCCATGCAAACCTCTTTGTATTCTCATGCGGCGCAAGCTTAAATTGCTAGTGTCGTTATTAGGCCTGCGGCGCAGGTCCTCATCCAGCGGCGCCGGCTCGAGCGGTTTGTTTCGAGATAAAGCCTGTCGCAAGTCCTCATCCAGCCTGTCGCAAGCTTGAGCGGTAACCCCCTTCTTTAGCCTGCGGCGCTAGCTTCAATGGTTGGCTTTATTCGTTAGCCTGCGGCGCTAGCTTGAGCGGCTAGCTTGTTTCTAAAGCCTGCGGCGCTAGCTTGAGCGGCTAGCTTCGTTCTAAAGCCTGCGGCGCTAGCTTGAGCGGCTAGCTTCGTTCTAAAGCCTGCGGCGCTAGCTTGAGCGGCTAGCTTCGTTCTAAAGCCTGCGGCGCTAGCTAGAGCGGCTAGCTTGGTTCTAAAGCCTGCGGCGCTAGCTTGAGCGGCTAGCTTCGTTCTAAAGCCTGCGGCGCTAGCTTGAGCGGCTAGCTTCGTTCTAAAGCCTGCGGCGCTAGCCGTCAAACACCCGTTTTATGCCTCAAGAGGACTGCCCGGGGCAGGGGAAGGAAATGCATCGAGAGGCAGATCCAAAGAGACGACCAAACTCGCGAGTGCAACTGGCAAGAATGAGGAAATTTGTATTTTTTCACATTATGCAAATTAGCCCTCCCGGACCCCCAAAAATCAATAAAATCGGCTTTAACTTTGTAAACTTGTATTTTAGCTGGATTCTGAAAACGCCATCGGAAAGAGGAGGGTCGATTCCCCCGGGTGACGGAGAATTAGTGCATTTTGGACACGGGAAGGCCCTCAAATCGGGCCTCGAAAGTGACATCCACACACACACACACACAAAGATACGCGACCAAATTATATAAGGTAGGATAAAGTTTTCCAAAAAAAATATTTTAATTTATTTTACGCGTATCTTCTAATTTTCAAATTTCCGCTTTCACCACACGTTAAATAAACAAGCCTATAGAAATGTTTTAAATGATCTGGTGAGTTGGGCAGGCGAAATGTCGCTAATACGATATTTTTCGATTTTTTGGATTTAAGACCAAGCAATCAAGTTTGCGACTAAACTATCGTAATTTATCTAACTTTAAAAATCTAAGCTTTAAAATATACAAACCTTAAAAATAGACTTTTCAAAATCCATGTATCAACTTGGCACTGGTAAACGCTAAAGTAGATAAAATACAATTTGATATAACAGAGCCGTACTTCTAAATTATTTTAATTGAGGGTTTCGACTAAAAGTTATCGTAATTATTCAATTTAATCTAAGCTATAAAATTGCAGTAGTTCCGCGCCGCACCCGTCAACGATTCCGACGAGTACGGTAATGCTGGATCCACTCCTTCTCCCGCTGGCCGCCCCAATCGATCAACTCACGTCAACGGGTAAGCTTTTTCTTCGCTTTTTCTCCAAAATACACGTTAGTATACTACGGGAATAAATTAAAACTTATATATGGAAGTCTCAAAGTATATAAATAAAACAAAATAAAATGCATTTTTAGTGTTTTTCCAAATACAATTTGATATTAGACTAAGAGAATAAATCGACAATTTATATTTAAAAGGTTTAAAGGTGGGTTTTAATGTATACAAAAAAGCCGTCAATAGTTACGGTGTCCACATCAATCTAAATAGCTCAATCTTGATTATCATTACTTTGGAGTTTGGTGAAACATTAGCTGCTCCAAAGAAAATTTTCCTTTCTGAAATTGGCTCCCCAATCGATCCGTTCACCGTGAGTTTTAGGAAAACATTATCTAAGTAAATTTTGTTACAAATTCAGGGCTTTTTAAAAATTTCGACAATTATATTTTTAAATGAAAATCGCTATACCAGATTCCCCTGTCTATTGGAATTCTGACTACAAAAAGATTTGAAACATTAACTTTTATCACCAAAAAAACGTTTGGCTTGTTCATTCGTCGAGTGAATTAGATCACTCCAATTCTAATGTTTAGCTTAATACCTTTTTAATATGTGAAATCGATCAAATATAAAAAGCCCAGAATGTTATTCGAAAAACCAGTTTTCCAAGCGGCGAAGTAGTTTACATGGCAGTGAATAAAATTTGCATTAACGCTCATGGTTCTTTCGCATTATTAGCGACGGATGGAACCCATTTTTTTTACTATGAGTCTAGGAATGTCTATTAACGTAATATTCACAGTCTTATTTGTGTTTTTTTTCAGTTAAACGTAATTTCACCGGCAACCAAAAAATGAAAACTTTTTATCAAAAGTTTGGTCGAAGTTTTTATATACATTTCTTTTAAATATTCTTTTCTTCGAACTTTTGATCAAAATTGGTTTTTGTTGTGAAAAATCGTTTGGAAAGAAATCTGCCATTTATATTAGAAAAATTGGATTTTCGGGGAAAAGCCCCCCCCCGATAATGCGAAAGAACCAAATTCAAGCTAATGTAAGGTTTTTCTACACATTACCAAGCTATGCATTGGTCAACCACCAGTACTTCTCAGTGCTCAATTTTTTGCAACATTTTTTTGCGACCTTTTTTAGAATTGACCAGGTTTTTTTGTAAGATTTCTTTAGTCGTATTTATGTATCTTAGTCTGCAACACGATAATACACGTCAGCTATTTCACTCTTTTTCAGCCCTCCCACTCTCCCAGCCACTGCAGCCACTTCTCAACACCACTCCCGTCACCACACCGAAAATGGGCGTGCCAGATGTTTTGGGTAAGTAATAAAAAAACGTTTAATGGTTTTTACGGTATTAAAATGATAATTAGCCTTCATTGAGAAAAATGAAGTTAGCGCAAGACACGCAGTTCGCGGCATTGTAGATGGCGCCCTTCAAAGTTGCCCAAAATTTAAAGAAACATCAAAATTTAAAAGAATTTGATTTTGAAAAGCTTGAGTATGTAAGCTTTTAGTTCTACCTTTAAAAGGCCGTCCGCGAGTCGCTCGAACAGTCCCCATTATAGCTTGGCACAGTTTTTTTCGACCCCTATTTTTTGATGCCATCTGATAGAGCATGGTCGAATTAGGGGATTCGCAGTAATTTGGGATTTTTAAAATAACATTTTCCGGGTTAAACAGGGCGTTAAAGTTACCAACGGCGAAAATTTATCTCGATGACTACTTGACAGAATTGGCTGAAACTTTGTGACTAGGCCTAATTTGGGATGGGGATCATTTTTCTAATACATCGCGAAGCACGAAAATTAGCAGAACCTAGTTAAATTGCATACCGAAAATAGTTTTTGCCCAATTTCAAATTAACGGCGAGTCGGCAGCAAGCTGGAATTAGGCTAGAAAGATGCGCAAAATTTTTCTGCATCGATTGATGTATTATTTAGGTAGCGGCCAGGTCGCCGTTTTCTCACAGCGAGCTTTTTGTAGCTGAAAAATGGCTTCAAAATCTGATTAAAATGGAAAGTTTTGTGGTATTTACATATCCGAGTAGTCAAAACGCATCAAGAAATCATGCCAAGTCGATTGCAAAAAAGAGCAAAAAGAAATTCGGCTTCTGAGAGGGAGCTGGGATTGAACTGGCGCCGGCTCTGGATTGGCACGCCGACGCTCTACTCATTGCGCCATGGGGCTCCCAGGCGGAGGGTCCGGGTTCGATTCCCGCCCAAAACCAGCACCCCTTCAAATGTCGAATTTCTTTTTGCTAATTTTTGCGTTTAGCTTGGCGTGATCGTTAAATGTGATCCCGTGGATCAAAACATAGAAAATCGCAAAATTTTCCATTTTAGTCAGATTTTCAGACCATTTTTCAGCTACAAAATGCTCGCTGTGAGAAAACGGCGACCTGGCCGCTACCTAAATAATACATCAATCGATGCAGAAAAATTTTGCGCATCTTTCTAGCCTAATTCCAGCTTGCGGCCGACTCGCCGTTAATTTGAAATTCGGCAAAAACTATTTTCGGTATGCAATTTAACTAGGTTCTGCTAATTTTCGTGCTTCGCGATGTATTAGAAAAATGATCCCCATCCCAAATTAGGCCTAGTCACAAAGTTTCAGCCAATTCTGTCAAGTAGTCATCGAGATAAATTTTCGCCGTTGGTAACTTTAACGCCCTGTTTAACCCGGAAAATGTTATTTTAAAAATCCCAAATTACTGCGAATCCCCTAATTCGACCATGCTCTATCAGATGGCATCAAAAAATAGGGGTCGAAAAAA